AGAGGACTTTTTTTGTTCAGTTTGGTCCACACTACCTCCCCACAAGCGCTGTACCATTGAGTACGAGACACTCTGTATATATATATATATATATATATAAGGTATATATATATATTGTAATGAATATATATATGAATATAATGAATATATATTTTATATATATACATATATATATATATACCTTCATTTGATATCCTACAAAGAAAAAATGCAGGAAATAACACAAGCTTATTTTTACAATCGAATAAGAATTAACTCTTTTTATTATCGTCAGAAATATTGATTGTCATCTATCATAAATCTATCATCAATCAAAATTCTTGCTTTTTATGTTAGAAACATCATTTTTTCTCAAACAAATAAGTATCAATTTTTATGAAAGAAATACTATGTATCGTTATTGAAACTTATTGAATAAAATTCTGAATAGATATTAAAATTATAACTGATAGTACTTTTAACGGAATCATTTTTCGGATAAATTAGTTAAGATTATTTCTATAAGGAATCTTAAGCCATGTCATCTTTTGTCTTAAATACATATTAACATACTTTAAATGTAGAAATAGATTCTTTTTTATAATTCAAAAAGTAACGGAAATTTTGAAAAATGTGTATATTAAGGACATATATTAAGGATCGAGAGGAGAAACTATAGACATCTGCCGAAAACAAATTTATATTTACTTAAAATACGATTAAAATACTGAGAAAATCGTAATATAATTATAATATTAATAAAAGGGGAATTTCCTACATCTTTTTAAAGCAATTAAAAAAAAATTATTCTGTTATTTCATTTGATTTGCACTATAGTGTGCACTATAGTATTGAGATACAGATAATCTTATTTATTATGTTTTAAGACTCAAATTGTAAAATCCGACCCTTTTTAGAAAATTTTATAGCTTTATAAAACATAAGACAAAAACGTCTTATGACTAAATATTACTTCTATAAAACAAAACTATGAACTCGATTATATCTGCACCGGGAGTACAGAGATAATTTTATTTATTATAATATTTTTAAAAACAAAATTGCAATCCGACTCTTTAGTATCTTTTGTACTTTCGTAAGAAATAAACAAAAAAATATGGCAAAATATTTCTTCTACAAGATAAAATATGGTAGAGTATAAATATGGTATCTGCACCGCAAGTGAAAACAGTGAAGTTCAAAATCGAAGCTTTCACGCATCCATCACATAATCCCGATTTATTATTGTTATTTTTATTATTTGTTAGTCGTTACTTACTATATTACATTTTTTAATAAAGATAATATTTTCTGAGAAACATTTTTTTGTAATACAAAGATAAAGTAAAGAAATTGGCTAAAGGAATAATCAAATAAATTTTGCCAAAAAGACATTGACCGAAGAGAATCTCGTTGTGTGCAATCTGCACACTTCTAGATTGAGTGTCGATAATACAATTAAATCAAACTACAAAGATCATCAAAAGAAAAAATTCATAAATAACGATGGCTTCAGCAATCTTCTCCTGGACGCTATAACTCACAACCAGAAAAGAAATTTACATATTCTCCAATTAAAAATTAATGTAATTGATTATATTTTGAAATTTTGTATCATATTAGTGGCTGAAGATTGATAAAGTCGAAACGTTAATAACCGCTTTAATTTTATTCAAATAAAATTATATATATGGGACGTTTCGCGTTAAACGGGCCACCTCTCCTTCCAAATTTTAACGCAATAGACAAAAATGTTTGAGATCTCAAAATATTTGTATACTTATGTAGTTTCGAATGGAATGTAGTCTTTTAAAAAATTCAATATGACAGCTCAAATATGGCGTTCACTACAAAAATTACGAATAATCTTACAATATCTTCGATTGAAATGCGAAAACTTCAGAAATTGGCTTGAAAATGATTATTATGAAGTTTTTGAGATCTTTGGTTACGAATCTAGGAGCAGAATTACAAAACTAAAAATGGCGGATTTAAAATGATGAACTTGGAATCAGTACATAAAACGTATCATAAATGTCGAGTCGAATACTCTACAATGACCACTGGTTTAACGACAGAGAAGACATTTGCAATTTTTTCCTTTAATAACAAGGAAAGCATGTCTATACTTTAGTTGCAGAGCTGCAGAAAATCGTTTCATAAGAAATTTCTGAATTTTCATATGTTTCTCTTTGTTTTTCTTGTTGAAAAAATTGCAAATAATGTACTACTCTGATACCGTTGAACCAATTGGTCATTGTAGAGTATTAGACTCAACATAACGACAATTATTACATTGATTCAATGGCATCAGAACAGCACATTATTTGCAATTTTTTCAACAAGGAAAGCAAAGAGAAACATGAAAATTCAAAAATTTCTTGGGAAACAATTTCCGCAACTAAAATAGACATGCTTTCCTTGCCATTTAAAGGAAAAAATTGCAAATGTCTTCTCTGCCGTTGAACCAGTGGTCATTGTAGAGTATTCGACTCGATATAACGACAATTATGATATGCTTTATGTAATTATTTCAAATTCAGTTATTTTAAATCCGCCATTTAAATTTTGTAATTGTATTTCTAAATTCGCAATCAACGACTTCGAAAACTTTATAGTAATCATTTTCAACAAAATTTCTGAAATTTTCGCATTTCAATCAAAGATACTGTAAGATTTTTCGTGATTTTTGTGGTTTTTAAACGCCATATTTGAGCCGTCATATTGAATTTTTCAAAAGGCCACGTTTCATTCAAATATACATAAGTATACGAATATTATGAAACCTTAAACATTTTTTTCCATTGCGTTTTGGAAGGAGAGGTGGCCCGCTTAACGCGAAACGTCCCATATATATATAATTATATCACATCTTTGTTTGCTCGTTTTATTGACCTTTATATCCTCTAGTTTCTACTTTATTCTAAAACAGAAACTAGAGAGTATAAAAGCTAATAAAACGAGCAAACAAAAATGTAATATATGTATACGAGCTAATATACAATTTTTTTTCAAATAAATTTTATTCTGATAACATCAAGCAGTTAAAAAAACATTGAATTACTTGTAGAATTAGGAGACACTATTTGAAAATTGATATAATTTTTCTTGTATTTTAATACTTAATACTTCATTCAAAAATTTCCTTTACTTTTTGAACTTTCTATCTGTTTAGAATTGATATTTTCTTAATAAAATCTAAAAAATGCATTTTGTATTAGAAATTTTTCTTAACTAATTAATTAAATTTCTTTACTAATTAATTTTTTTTTTTTAAATCATAAAATTAATAACGAGAAATGAAATACATATAGCTGAGCTATTTTAAATAATGTAAACAATTTAAACTACAGAACGTAATTCTAATTTTTATAAGTGATAAAAATTAAGTCAAAAATATAAAACCAAATATCACAACTTTAAAGTTTACTAACTTTAAAGTTTACATCAAATAAATATAAGTAAATTTATATATAATTTGAGGATCAAATATAAAGATATTTAATGTTAAAAATTAAGGGGATGCTGGAGTTGTCTATTTTACTGACTAAATGCATAAATTTGTTCAACAAGTTTTCGTATCTATTGCTTTTACAAATTTAAAAATCCTTTTCCAGAATTTAAGTATGTATATATAATAACGCTACGCGGAAACTATGATTATGTAAACGGTATTATTCAATTATCAAAAAGGGAACATATTACAATGTTTATAACGTAATGTAAAAAAAAGAACATATTACAATGTTTATAAATGTAAAACGCTAAAAGTAGGCACCGATCTGGCATACACTATTTAGAATAGAAGTGCGAATATGCACCACAACGAACTTGCGAAGTTAATATTTCGTTAATCTGCACAAAACTGAAGCTGTGCATATTCCTGTCACCTGAGGTACCAGGCATATTTAACGTAGTGGGAATAAGCCGCGACAAATGTCTCTATGCAAATGCCAGCAATTCGAAAATTTTCGCTGTGCGAATTCGCACTCTTGTACTATTTGAAGGTTAATATAAGAGAAAACTTTGTGTTTATATGTCGTGTAATGTGTGCATGCGATATTGATGTAATGAACATCAACAATATCAAACATCTACGTATTACTACATTAATATCGCAAACGTATGCACAAATCGTCGGTAAAACATCGATATCACTTTAAAACAGAAAGGTGTTCAATATTGCCTAAAAAACAATAAATAAAAAGCTTCCACAACACTAAGGAAAGTTAATCTTAAATTATAAATTAATCTCTCTACAGGGTGTCCAAAAAAAACCATTCAGCATTTATATGATAGGTAGTACACATCATACTGAACTAAAAAAAACCTTAGTGAACATAAATCGAAAACTTAATCGTTTCTTTTATACAAACAGAAACGATTGAGCTTCCGACATATGTTCATTAAGGTTTTTTTACTCAGTATGGTGTGTACTATCTATCATATAAATACTGAATAATTTTTTTCTTTAACACCCTGTATAGGTAAAAAATTCCTACAGTCTAGGATATCTTATATTTCTTCACATAAGCCATAATAAGAAGCAAGAAATTGTGAATTTTTTTTCCTTGCTGTATATCAAAATAAATTAAATTTTTTAGATCATTTAGAAACTTTTATCTAATTCATAATTTATCTATAATTCATATATTATTATTTGCATTCAATAGCATTTATTAATAAAATATAAACATTTGTTGAAATTTCGTGAAATTTGAAATTTGAACATTCCGTTTTCTTATTATTCTGTATTATTAATACACGTATTATTAATACATTGTATAACTCGGTCTACATATTTCTAGTAAAAATCAACTTTATGTAACATTTTCAAGATTTATAGCTATTTATTAATCCATAAATCCGAAAAGTTTTTGACATATTTTACTAATACATACTATTAAATATGCATAATGACACATACAAAAATCAATTTATCTCAACATATATTTCAAGAAAAAAAATTGTATTAGATTATTAAATATGAAATAACTGATTATAGACTATAAAATTAATCATATTTCTTAATTAAAAAATCTTCTAATTAAAATTTGCAAAAAATGCATTAATACATTTCTTGCTTCTGCAGCAAGTAGCAAATATATTAACAACAAAAAAAGTGAATAAGGTAATCTGTAATAATATTGAAATATTAGAATAAATTGTAAAATTAATCATGCAAATCTTCATATTCATATTAATCCTCCGTCGTAATTGGATCTTTTAAGGTACAATCAATGTTTTGGTTATGAATTTTAAGAGAATAAATAAATGGTAAAATTCGGTATCTCGCCTAAAACGGTAATGTTGAGATTGTGAACAAGACGTCAACAATTTGTTTAGTTGAAAGAACGAATAGAAATTGTGCCTTCAACGATCATAATACACATATTGTGGAGCGCGATTGTATTTTCAAATTAAAATTAATTTTTTGTTCTACATGTTTTTAATGTTAAGTTTAATGAATATATAAATATTTTGCATTTAAAATAGATTTTTTAATGTTTTATATATTATTTTTTCATTATCAGTAAATCTATAAGGATTTTTTAAACCATACACACTTTTGTATAAACTGTGCTATACTTCTATTTATGCTCTCAACGTAATAAAAATAAACAAAATTTCATAATTATTCTGCTGATTTTATTACTTTTTTATCAAAAAAAACTTAATTTTTAAACAATAATTATAATTTGAATAGGACCGCCTGTGTGAATAACACAACTAACTTCGAGAGCGCCTTTTCGCGGTCACGGCTGGATTTTAGATGCCTAATAAATTCTATATGAATTTTTCTGAAAGCCATGTAAAACTTTTATATATATATACTTCTCCCCAAAATTAAAGGATCACCTATTCTGATCTAAAAATAGGCAACTTTCAAAAGAGTGTAACTTCGTCAAAAATGATCGTAACAGAATGATCCAAAAAGCATTTTACAGCTTGAAGTCTCTATTTTCGAAATCCATAATTCAT